GAAATACACATCCCAGAGCCCAAAATATGAGTCTCTATCCAGAACTGTTTTTTATTTTTGATAGAAAAGAGATTGTTTGGTATTATCACTAAAACATTCCAGAGAGATATACACAAATGCAATATATTCATATGTGTGTGACTTGTAGAGGTTGCTGACTATAGCATTTATTTTAGAAAACATTAAAATGTATTCAAGAATTACATGTACTCCCATCCCTTTTCGCAAACAGGACCTTAAAACCCTCCAAAAAAAGTGGTGGACTCCTTAGTCTGGAGCAGCCGCAAACGCAGGGTACAAAAGGCGACCCTTTACATACCCAGATAAGCGGGCGGCCTCGGACTCCCAAGTTTTACACACTACCTTACAGCGACACATCTCACTCAAATACAGCAATGTCATCTACCACCAAATAAGAAACGCTGGGTGGACCTGGAGCACCTGATACTCGGGTGGGACCACCCATCTTTATACATGTGGTTGCCCAGAGCAGAGAGACCTCTGCCCCCGCCAACAGCCCCCTCAATCACATACTCACTAGACCTGTGTGACAAGGTGAAAGACAAATTTCGATCTATCCTCCTACCTGTCCCTGATCTCCCCGATCTGGAGAAACAAGCTATTCCCACCTGGGCTAAACCCAGCACACTTCACCAACTTCGACAATAGAAACATATGCAGACTAAAACACCTATATGCCGCAGATGCAATCAATGCCTACAATGACTTTCCAGACAGGGACACCCTAACCACATTCGACCACTTCAACTCAGAAGTTTTGCCTCCACACCCATCATTAAAAAGGCAGGCACGGCCCCCCTCACGGTAATATTTTACCAGGAAAGATACATTGAGATTTCTCTCGTTTTCAAGTATGTCCTGGGTCCACAAATCATTGCATTGTTACATTAGAGTACAATAAAATACAAAAACAATATTAATACACAGTAAATACAAAATTTAACATAGAACAGGTAGGAAATATATAATCAACCAAGGCAGGTGCATTCTGTTTTGAGGTATGCAGAGAGGGATCTCTTAAAGGACTTTAGGCTTAGGGAAGATTTTAAATTGTGCGGGAGGTCGAATGGAACACCCGACAAGAAAAGGACAAATCTCAGACCTATATTGCACCATAGCAACACACCCAATGCAGGTGTCGCTCACCTACATTAAGGCATGGGAAAAAGACTTGGGCCCACTTGAAGACTCCACAGACTGGTCCGGCAAATGGGAGGCCATGGCCACCGTATCTATATGCATCACCCATAAAGAACAAGCATATAAGATGCTGTTCCGATGGTACCTGTCACCTCAAAGACTATCCTTAATGCGTGCAACCTCATCCAACCTCTGTTGGAAGGGATGCAGTGAAATAGACATCTTCCTCCACTGCTGGTGGTCCTGCCCTAAACTACAACCCCTATGGCACAGCATCACAGCACTGATCACCAAATTGGTTGACAGACCATGCCCTATGGCTACTATTACTGTCCAAACCTTTTGACTCTTACTCTAGACAAGAGAACAAAGTAATCGCTAGGATAACACTCGCAACACATGGAGCAATTGCCAAAATGTGGGCAATGTCACACATCCCCTCACAAACCGTCATCACACATAAGATACAGGACTGCGCAAACATGGACAGCCTCTCAGCCCAAATACATGAAACGTTCACACTTTACCATAAGCCTGGTACCCATGACGTACTGTGTACTGCAATGGCCCCCTGAACCTACCATCAAGGCTTACCTTAGTTGGGAGTCTGTAGCGCAGATATATGCTCACCCTTGCAATTAAACACAGGCCAAGGTGGTCAGGTAAGAACTCACCTGGTCTGTGAGTCTGTGCACGGGGGCTGTGCAGGATGATGCACCAAGTCGCAGTACTGATACGGACATAAACAGGAGAATCGTTGTGGGTAAGCCAAATGTCAGTGGGTGCCAGAAATCAGGATAAACGAGTAGAGAGCCAAGGTCAGAGGATGCCAGAAGTCAGGATACACAAAATAACAAGCCAAGGTCAGGAATCAACAGGAGAACACCAATACAGGAACCAGAGTCAATGAACTGACACTGCCCTCAGGGAGAGGCAGTGTCTTATACCTGGTTAATCAGTGATCAGCCACAGGTGAACTATGAGTGACAGGAGCAGTCTCAGATAATGTCCAGCCCCCAGTGCTGGATACAAAACTAGATTAGATTTCAGTCGATTAGTAGTGCTGTGTAGTTGCTCAGAGACAAAATAGAAGGTCCAGGACTACAAAGTACCCAGGTTCAAATCCCTCATTGGGCTCTTCTAGCAACCTCATCTGCTAGTCTGGATGTCATGGTGAGAACTGTGACACCTACCTGACACTGTGGAAATATTGGCAGGGATGCCACCACTGACCAGACTATGCCTGTAAGAGTCACCACATGGAATATGACAACTCACACACACTGACAACTGGGTTGCAATACCCAAGAGGCAAATCACTGACCCATCCACTATGCCACCAAGGTGCATTTGTACCCTGAGGTCCAACTTATCTGCACCCATCTAACCAACGATAAAGTTAACTATTATGCTTTGTACCCAGAAAGCATTCATATTGCAAATGTGGCATATCAATGTTGTACCCCTTCCTCCTTTCTTATTTTTGTAACCCCCAATCCTCGCTAAACCTAAAGGTTGCAAAAAGAATTACATGTACTACTTATTGTTTCCCTTTATTTCTTAATTTAAAATTGTGTTTTATTCCACCTCCCTCCCTATATTCTTAATATATTCTTATATATTACTTATATCTCCCATCCTGACCTTCTGTTTTGTTTTTTTAAATTGGTGCATTTATAGTCTTGTTATTTTATGTTCATTCTTTATTACTTTTTGTTAGTTTGTTTAGCTAGTGTTACTTCTTTCACTGATAATCTTGTTAATTTATGTTCACTGTTTATGACTTTCACCTATCTGATCCTTCATATCTTTTTTTCCCAAATGTTATCTCCTCTGTTTTTTTTTATCTCTAATTACCTCAATATCTCCATGTCTCCTCATACAACAGCTTTGAAACACAGTTCAGGAAGAGGCCAGTGAACCCTTGTTCGTGAGCAAAGACAGTGTAAGTCCCTTGTTCGTGGACTTCGACTGCCCGAACGCCGTTAGACTCCTATTTGAATAGCCGAAGTTCAGTGGAAGGTAACTGTTCAGAGGTGTTCGTGCTGTACTGTGTCTGATTTGAGTTCCATGAACTCGACGAAAAACACAGCTGAACACAAACAAGATGGCCACCGCCACGTGTTCGAATGTCGAATGGCGGCCACTTCGACTACTTCGACTGTTCGAAGTGCCACTTCGACTATTTTGACTGTTCGAAGTGCTAACTCCAAATGCTGAAGAGGGCACAAACAATGTCCCTGCACACAATTCATCCCAGAGGCTATAGTCACAGGATAGGAGGCTGGCAAACAGGCCCCTCCAAAAACTTGTGGCAAACTCACAGAAAAAGGGGAGTTTGTCACATACAGTAATACTGAGTATCTGCACCATAGAAGGCAATATAGTATCCTGATCCTTTAGCGTGCTCAGAGCCTCCAAGCTCCACATCCGCCTGAAAGCAGCCATGAAATGTAACTAAAAAAGATTGCCGTACTCTGTGGGGATCCTACAGAAACACAGTGGGACTGAACGGAGGCATGGCACATAAATGTGTTGCACTGCTGGGTGAAAATCAGAGTTGGGGCAAAGGGAAAGTAAGTGGATCTTGGCTGACCCATACAGTCTTTTTTCACCACGTTAAACTCTCTCCAGTTTCTTGAGGGTTCTATGGATTTATTGTGCTGGTTCTTTAAGAGAGGACTATTCACGGGTTCCCCCTTATTATTATAAATGTTATATGTGGGAAGAAGAGTTTAGATTGGGAAAAAGAACTCTGGTAGACAACAGTTATTAATTATTTTAATTGTTTATTTATTTATAAAATATTTTACCAGGAAAGATACGTTGAGATTTTTCTAGTTTTCATGTATGTCCTCTACGATATTGGCTTACATGCACAAAACCACTATTGCAAAAATTCTCTCTAATGCATGGATGCTGTAATCACTGTTGTTCTCATATTGCCAACCAATCCTTGACCAAGCAGGGGCATCACATCGCTTGTAAAAATTAAAATAGTAGGTGATAGTAAAATGCTAAATTCACTGACTAAAGTGCAAGGATGAATCTGCTTTTGCAAAGATGAGAGCATTTGGAAAAAAACATAAACAAAAAAAAAACTTTTACCAGAGCTCCATCTTACGTCTCTTATTTCGATATGGGTACCACATTAAATTACAAGTATTCGACTAACGATCTGACGTTTAACTAAATGAGAACTAACCCATTGTTTACTTATGAAAAAAGAAACAAGGAAATGGTGGGAAATCTCCTACCTAGAGGGTTACCTTAAGGAGGGATTAATTCCCAGAGGTTCAAAAGTGGATAAAACACCTGCTTATGGGATTGAAAATGATGAATTCATGAGAAAATGGCATATAATATTGGAGAATTGTTCCCAGGACCTCATGTGATTGATCATAGAATTTGAAAAAGTAAATAGACAGTCTTTAGAAGATGAAATTAAGATGATGGAAACTCAGGAAGATATAATTAGCGATAATCCAGAATTTAAAGAAAAGGAGCAGACAATTAGTGAGAACATTAAAGATTTGGAAGAACAAATAGCTAATGTTAAAAACAAAAAGAAACTTAGAGACAGAGATGATAAGCTTAGAAATACCTTTTCTACTGCTAATAAAATAAAAAATCAACGAAATAGATCTAACTATAGGAAGTCTGGTGACAATAGAGATTTCGGAAGAAATCCCGGACCAGCTAATAACGATTTTAGGAACAGATATGGAGATAACTTTAGAGGGAGAAAATACTCCTATACTAAATCAGCGACTACATGGAGCAATAAGGAAAATAAACCCCAAAATAGAAAAGAGCCATATTTGTCACCTAAGCATAGAATGAATAGAGGAGAAGAGAGACAATCTCCACCTCCCCATCAGATAAAAGAAAGAATGAGGCGAGCCTCAGGAAATTCTCCTACCCAAAGACCTAGTACTTCCACTTATCAGAGAACTTATGCTGAAGTAGTTAGTCCTGGTCGAGAGAACTTTGAAGAAAGGGAGAAACGTTTTTTAAGGAGGGAGCAAGACCAAAAAGAAAGACGAATAACACAGTTTTTCAAACCCCGCAACAACCAACAACCAACCAACCAATGGGAAAACAGATTCTCCCCCTTAGAAAACCTTACAGAAACTCCACCCAAGAGGAAGAGATCAGAGGAGAATTTCCGGAGAGAGGAGTATCAAAATAGAAAGAATTAGAAATAGCATCAGGGATCTATAATTTAACAGATGTTCAGCTAACTACAGATGATATAAAAGCCCTTAAAAAGGGCTTAAAATTTGCACATAATAGAGGTATGAATTATTTTGATACTTATATAGATCTCCAAAAGTTCATTCGTAAAATGACCCTTAAAAGATTATTTTTAAAACATCCAGGAAAAGATAATCCACCTCCAGTTACACAGCTAGATGAGAAGAGGTTTAAAAAGAAGTCACACTTTTATCCCATTAGTCAAAAAGGCCATCACTTGGAAACATTTAGCAGTATGGTCTGTAGTGATCTAGAACAACTAGATTTACAACAAACGACTAATAAGAATAGAAATAAATTTAACCTCAATAAAGAGGAAAGTGACAGTATTAGAAAACTCCAAAATATGGAGAATGTTATTATAAAGGAGGCTGATAAGGGGGGTGGGGGCAATAGTCCTTATGACAAGGGACTATTACCTCAAGGAAGCAGGTAGAATTTTGGGGCATACCAACACGTATCTAAAATTAAAACATGATCCTACAATTAAATTTAACCAAGAATTAAAAATACTTTTAAACCATGCACTTCAGAAAAATGTGGTATCTCAAGAAAATACTGAGTATCTTTATATTGAACATCCTGTAATTCCCATTTTTTACTTTCTGCCCAAGTTACATAAAAACCCTGTAGAACCCCCAGGAAGAACAATTATAAGTGGGATAAATTCAGTAACATCACATCTTTCTGAATTTATAGATCACCATTTGCAAAAATTTGCTCAAGAAGCACCTTCCTATATAAGAGAATCTTCCCATATTTTGGAATTAATGGAAAATAGAGACTGGGAAAAAGATTATATATGGGTAACCATTGATGTTACATCTTTATATACAATAATTAAACACGAACTAGGTATTTCAGCAGCTGAAAAATTTGTTAAAAATTATGTTACCATATCGAGTGATCTAAGGAATTTTCTGTTGGATGGTATTCATTTCGTCCTACCATAACTATATCTCTTTCAATGATGCCTTCTACTTAAAAAAAACTGGGACAGCTATGGGGACCAGGTTTGTCCCCCAGCTATGCCAACATATACATGCGAGATTGGGAAGCCAACTCCGTGTGGAGGGGGCATGGCTGGGTTGCAAACCTGGTCCTCTGGAAACGTTTCATAGATGACGTTATCTTAATCTGGAAGGGAACTCAAAGTGAATTAGAAAAGTTTCTAAATTATATTAATATCAATAATTACAATCTTAAGTTCACCCATACATTTGATGCTAGAAGCATCAATTTTTTGGATATTACATTCTATATTGTTAATGATAAGATACAATTGAAATGCTATTTTAAGGAAACAGAAGGAAATAGTTTAATTCACAAAAAGAGTTGCCATCATGAAAATTGGCTGAACTCCATACCTAGGAGTCAATTGATCCGAATCAAAAGGAATTGTTCAAACAATTATGACTGCCAGGAACAAGCTAAACATCTAGGTAATAAACTTATGTCCAAAAAATACACATTAAAGAGAGAAGTGAAAAAAGCTGGAGAACTGGATAGAAGGGATCTAATAAGGAAGAATAAAAGGGATTAAGGAAATGGGGAAAATTTTAAATTTGCTTTCATTACTCAGTACAAGACCCAACATTGAAATATTAAAAATATTCTAAACAAACACTGGGGAATTTTGCTAAAAGATCAGATTTTAGGAGGAGTATTGCCTAAGAAGCCACCCATGATTTTTAGAAAAGCAAAAGAATTGGCTCCTAGCTATGCTTTGAAAAATAAATATGAAAACACTAAAAGCGAAGTTAAAGGTTTTAGTTCATGTAACCAATGCAAAGCTTGTATAACGAAAAGGCTTTTAAAAGTAAAAAAACTTTAAAAGCTCTGTTACTGGCAGGGAATTTAATATTAAAACTAATATCAATTGTAATAGCAAGAATGCTGTGTACTTGCTACATTGTCCCTGTGTGAAACAATATGTGGGACGTACATGCAGAAAACTTAAATAACGTATCTTAGAACATAAAAATAACATCCGAAAAAAATATGACAAACACTCAGTCCCCATGCATTGTAATTCATGTCCTAACTTTAGCTGGAATCATTTCCACTATGTAGGTTTAGAAAAAATTTATAATCATTGGAGGGGTGGTAACCTTATCAAAAAACTAGCATAGCGAGAAACGTATTGTATAAATGTATTGAAAACCTTACAACCAGGAGGATTAAATGCAGATATTGGTCTGTGGTGCTTTTTGGAATAATCACTCCTTCCTTCTGCTTCTTATTTTCATATTTTCTTTTTCTCTGTCCTTTATACATTACGTATATTTTATCTATGTATATAAATTTGCCTATTTTTGTTCTACAATAATAGTGAACAAGCCAAGAGAAAGTTCCCTTTTTCTTTAAAATACAGCACCTAAATGAGACTTATATATACATGTTTTATTTAGTTTCCTAGGGTTATTAGGTATGCCCTAATTTATAATCTCCAATTTTTAATTTTTGATAGGTATTCGTATAATTATAAGGAGATATATTTTTTATATATATCTTTATTTTAACATATTTTTTTTAGTAATTTTTTTAGCATTTTGTATAGTTGTATTTAATAATGGTTTTTTTTCATCCCTAATGTATTTAATTCGAGCATCTTGGCTTGTACATATTATCCTATGCAGTGTGTCATTAAATAGATACACATGCATATAAGTATGTATCCACTTATGTTTCATCTTGGATGGTGTGTCTGTTTTTTTGTTCTTGTCAATAAAGTTTGTTCATGTTACTATGGATTAGTAACCCCTTTTAATTATTTTGTCACTCCCCCTTGTACATACCCCACTTATATTCCCACCTAGAAACAGCCTTTTGCGGATTTTATGCAAACATCTTCTCAGCTTGCCACTATAGTTGTTAATAAAAACGAAGGTGGAACGCATATCTGGAATGCATGACGTCATCGTGCATGTCACGTGACGACGTCGAGCGCCCGAAACCCGGAAGTGATCGGAATTGAACTAACAACAGCTGAAAGAAGATGGAACCACCTGTGGAATAGCTATTGGGACTAATTGGGGGATGTATATAGGGAGGGGGGGGGTTACAGTTGCATGCATTTGTATCTAGCACTTTGTAAAAGATTGTCCCTGAGGAAGTCCCTGACAGGGACGAAACGCTTTGGACTACTATTGAATATATTTCTCATCATCTGCTATTATTTACTTTGATGTAAGTAATAAATGCTGCTTTTTGCACTTTATTTACACAGTTACTTCATTATTTTTTTGCATTTTTCTATCTTTTGTATGAGATTAACATCTACTCAGCATTGAAGCAAGAAGACACTCACCAATATATCTTTGAAGGCACTTTATTTGATGTCAAAGTGTGAGTGATCACTTGGCACTTAATTTTATATCCAGTATTATTACACACAGTGTTGCACTATGTTATATTTTTGCTTCCCTAGCTGGAATAGCAATATACTATACAACCATTGTTTATAGAGTCTGCCCACTTAGGTAAATACAGGCAACCACCACACTCCATGCTCTTGAATAAGCGTCCTATTTTTATTTATTATTTTAAATTGACTAGGAAGAGAAAAGACAATTCCTGCTTGTTGTGTCAGTAATTCTCCTAAAAGACTATTATACAAACAATATTCCCTGACCATTTTACCCATTTCATTGTTGTCATGTCCCCGGAGTCTGATGATTATCTGCAAAAGGGACATTCTGAGATAAAAATCTTTATAAAACAATGTTTTTATATTTTTTTATAAATTCTTTGTTTTTGCAGTGCAGGATTATGTATACAATTTTCGCTAAACATTGTAAAGGATAAAACAAGATAAAGCAATGGTGTAACATACAATATCAGGAAAAAGTGCACTGTTTTTTATATTTATACATGACATGGTGGATCGGTATGTGTCAAACGATTTTCAGATGAGCTAGTTACAACATTATAACGATTAACTAGAAAAGCTACAATTTCTGGGGAAATTGTGTGAAGTGTTCTTGCCTCCACCAGTAGTCTACAACTGGAGTGGGCGACGTAACTGTTATCATTTATATAACACATTTAATTGCAACATTGTTGCACAGTTATATTAAACCATACATTTATAAAACATTAGCAGGTGTTCAAAAGGCCCTGTCTATGACATCACTTGCTGCTGCAGCTTAGCACAGGTCAGAGTATTGTGGCGGTTGCCATCTTCAAACGGTCATATTTTAAAAACTATAACTCCTACAGTGAAGAGCTTTATATTGTGAGAATCACAAGACCCAGACCTACATTTTGATGCATAGTATGTCTCTGAAGTATTAAAATTGAAGGCACAGTCGCAGGTTAGAAATTGCACTTCAAATTTGAGCTTTGCAGAGTGAAGTTTCAATGAATGTCAATGGACGGCGTTGGTTGCAAACAAATGATTATATTGGTGAAAACCAAAATTATGGCTTAGCCGCTATTGCCTAGTGGCAGCAGGGATAGCTGAACGTTTTGATATAAGATTTTCTTGTAGGTGGCCTGAGTCATGGGAGTGGTGGTAGCTTCTAGAAATCATGTTTGGATTTTTCAGCTTTTGCCAGCTCCCACTCTAGCTTTGCCATTCATTCCTAAGTGACAAATTTCTGCTCACAAGAATCCATTTATATGTCTCCGCGAACTATCTGCAAAAACGTTCCACAAAGTAATAGCAATCCGATCGGGAACAATCTGCACGTTTTGGTAAATTTTTGTCTACGTAGTGTAAAAGCTGTGGGAGGAGTTAGGGTGGCAAATTTGGCTATAATAAGAATAAGAATAACAATATATATGTGAGATAACATTAAGTGGTCTTGCTATGCAAGAACACTTAATAATAATATATATGTGAGATAACATTAAGTGGTCTTGCTATGCAAGAACACTTAATACTAGAAAAGCTACAATTTCTGGTGAAATTGTGTGAAG